GAGTCTGACAGTTACAGTACTTACAGTTCTTTTCAGGTATTTGTTTCTCTCTTGCACATTGGAGTTTTATTTTGATAGCTATGTTCTTATTCTGTCATCAGGAAAAATAAATGAAAAATAGAAAAGAAAAAAAACACACCAACAATAAAAACCAAAAACAAACAGGGAGAAAAAAGCCTTCGCACTATTTAATTATTCTCTCTGTCTTCAGCCTAACCTGACTCATACCAACATTACCGATCATGATGTGGGGAAGGGAAAAGGCACATCTATAAACAGACAAGTAAAATAGAGGCAAGCTGCAGTTTAATAAACCCAAAGGTAAAAGGTGAAAGACAGTCTTGCTTTTGCAACATTTTCGTGCTGCTGAAAATGGAAAATATCAATGAATCAAATCACAAAAAAATGTGTAGGAATGGGCTGTACTAGGAATCGAGGCAGGAAATAATAAAAAGACTGATCTTGTAGAAAAGGAATAAACACGGCTTTCGGACTTTTATCTTCTGAGTACAGTGGCAGTAAGTTTTATGCATTCCAGGTAGAGCAGAGCATTTGAATGGAAGAAAGCAGCGGATGATGCTGAGGCAGTAGAAGGGGCTGAAAACTAGTCCACTGAATGGTGAAGTAGAATTCTTTACAAACAGTTCTATTTTAGATGTAGTAACTTTAAATTAAAAGAAGATCTTATAAATTCCTTCCTGATGAGATAACAGGGCAATGGTTATCGTATACAGATGGTGCAGTTTATTTACTAACTAAATTTTTTACGTAGTTGGCAGTAAAATTTTAGTAGTACCTAAATATGCATCTTAAGTGCCTCTGTTTAGGCATCTGTGCTGAAAAAGTCAGGCCATGGTTGCTTTGAACTGCTTCAAGTGCTATTTTCTTTAAAAACCTATAGTATGGTTGTAAAAACAAATACCTTCTAGCAAAATCCTGAGGGACTGTGTAACTAATTTTTTTTATTATTCAGTTGGAAAGGAATGGATTTGAAGCATTCAGTGATACCAAAGTTTGAAAAAAAAAATAATCAAAATCATATTAATTCTTATAAAACACTTCCTCTGTCTATGAAATTAACTCAGGTCAGAGATCACAAACATAATAGAAGGACAGCTGTCATATCCAGCTTTGTCTGGTACCTGTTTGGGTTTATTTATTTTTCATCAGTTCTTGAATAAACAGCCTCTTACCTGAGGGTTATCCTCTTGCTAGATGTTTGTATGTAATCCCATGCCAAAATATTTCATGCCTACTATTTCGCCCCTTCACATGTCTGTGCAGGACAGATTTTTATCTATACAGATAATGTGCAGAGTGATATTTGGCTCATAGCATGTCTTCACAGTATGCACTGGATTATAATTCCACAGTGATAAATTGTAGGTTAGATCTTCAGTGAAAGAATTAGATGGTCTTTACTGATTTGGTGTTCACTTTTGAACACTTTGCTGAATAGGGGATTGAATCTAAAATGCAGTGAGCAGACCTGCCATGAAGTTTGTGACTTATCCTCCATTGGTATCAGCTTCATCAAAAGTTTCATCTTTGAAAGCAGTGGTGGCAAAAATAACAGTAGGTTCCCACTGCAAGGGGACGTGCTGCAGCTGTGGTGGAGCTCCTGCCCCTTGTTGGCTCTGAAATGTTGGGGTGTATGCTTTCATGCCTTAGGAGTTTGTGTAAGTGCTTAAGGTTTCTACTAGGTCTTTTCTGATACCCAGTGAAGGATGCTTGGTGGATGTGGCACTAAGCAGTGAAACTCCAACTGTAGCATGAAGCACTGAGTATATAGACAGCAGCCATCTGTTAGGGAGAGCTGTGGTTACTGGAAATTTTTGTCACTATTTTTATTGTCACTCTCCAGTGTTGCCTGTCTGAGACTTTGATGTACTCTTCCTTCTTCATACCACACCCACAATCCTTCCTCTTCTTTGCTCCTTCTTGCTTTCCTCTTTCACTGGGAAAGTTGGACATCTACTTTCCACTAGCAAAAAATGAACATACAAATTTTGTATGCAGTCCGTTCACCACTTTAATTAGCAAAAAGAAACCAGAATGCATTAATTTAAATACTTAATTTTCTGAATTCTGAAACTTTGTATGTAGTTATTTTTAACCTGGTTTCCTGGGGAAGGAAGCTCCTGCAATCATTTTTCACTAACCACCCACTGTTAATAACTTCAGGAGCTTTTGTGTTGATCTCAGACTTGAGGCAGGGCAGAGATCTCAACTATGAAATCCACAGCTTCACAAACGCAGACAGGCAGGTAGAAGGGAGAGCATCCAGTCACCAGGATGGTCTGGTTGACATATAAGCTCAGCCCTTACTAGTAGAAATTAGAGGATCAGCATGGAAGAGACTTCACAAAGATGCCAGCTGTGAGGAAAGAGCCATCTGCATGAGGACATTAGTGGGTATGAGGAGTCTAAGCAGAAACTGCCAGTCCAAGGAAAGGAACCCTTCATTTGCCTGCCTTCAGTCCTGCTCCTCATGACAACTTCATGGCTCTTCTTTGATACCCTTCTCAGGAGAACGCCTTCAAATTTGCAAGCATAAATGCTGCACAAAGATGAGCTGGCCTTTCAGTTTGCCTTCAGACATTGCTTCTGCACCAGTTTGTGTGGTCTCTGACTGCCAGCCCTCGGTGCTTGACTTTCTTGTGCAACCAGTTGCTCCTTTTTCCTTTCTGCAGAAAGACAACTCAAAGCACATTGCTGTGGATCTTGCTGACACCACCCTGGGTGTGTGTCTCCGAGCCCTCTTACCTCTGCCAAGGCATTGTGGAATAGCTGTCTGTTTTTTTCAAGAACATACCAATAGAAACAGAGCTACACACGATAGCCAGTGTTGATGGGCTTGAAGCCACTGTGGGTGCAGTCATGTATTGTAAATGGCTCATGTTCGTGTTGTGAAATGATTACAGAAACACAGTGATACCATTAGTGGTCCAAAGGCTAAGAATGCACCTTTCAAGATAAAATGGTTGCATCAATTTTATCTCAAAGCACAAGCAAAACTCAAAGTCAGCAGGA